GGGATGTTGATTTAGGATTTTGGTGTCTAAGTCTAGGATCGAAGGGGGTCTTTGTGAGTAACTCTTGGGCGAATGTAACTTGTTTCTTAATTGTTCATGGGCAGGTTTTTTCTATCTCTAGCTTTAAATCTTACCAAGATGCTAGAGATGGTTCTGCTTACTCCAGTTTGTCTAGGTTCTGGAATTGATCAGTTATTGTGTAGGGGGCTGTGAGGTTTTTGCCTTTTTGTTTTACCTTACCTTAGGACCTTTGAGAATGGAAGAGACAAGAGGGAATCGAAAGGTCAAGGATTCCCCCATCTCTTTGTCCGTTAAGGTTTAGGGTGTGTGATAAGGGAAGTTATAAGTTCTTTTGGTTGAAGATTGCTTTGTCCATTTTTGTTAAATGGAGAGTTGGTGAAGACTTAACTTTACCCAAGTCTCATTTTAGTTTAGCGATGATGATTATTTTCATTGTTTTGAAAAATATATATCCAAAGGAGGCTGTCCATAGGACTCCAACGCTTTCAAGCCTCTTCTTTCTCGAGAAGAGACTTTGGATACCCGATCATGTGTGGGTAAGTTTTCAGGCGTACCTGGTAGTTTCATTGTGGAACGGGTTTAAGTGGTATATTTCATAATGTGCCAGGTCATATTTTTCCCGAAATTTGAATAAAAATATCATGAGCTCGAAAATTAATATGTGTACATTCAAATTCAAGTAATACTACTACAAATATATCATTTAACAGCGGTTGAAAATAACAATTAATAATGGTTGACAACCGCTGTCTATGAAAGCGTTGTTATAGAAGGGGTATTATTTTACAACGGATGGATAGAACCGCTGTTAATTTACACATTCTAATGTCCCACCTATTTGGGTTCTATTTTTCCCTATTTTTTGGCGAGTAACTTAGAAACTTACAATTATTTTAGCCTATGTAGGAACTGAACTTACATCTATGTGCAAAAGCACATTGCTCTACCATTTTGAGCTAATACGCTTTAATATACATTTGAAAACTTAAAGACAATTATAGTATATTAGTAAATAAATAAAATAACAAATTGACTAGACTATGAACACATATATAAACTGGTCACTCAATGGTGATAACAAATACTACATCTACCGTCAAAAATAAAGCCTCCTATAAGATATGTAAATTTTAGGTTATCATTTCGAAGCTACAATCTGAAACTTGCAATCAATTTACAGATTTGGGGCTTAAACAAAAACCATTAAAAATAGCTGAGCAAACAATTTGGGGTAAACATAAACACAATTCCATTTCCTCTTTTATTGTTTATCTAATTACAATAGTTTTGTCTATGTAAACTATTAACCCAGTTTATGACAGCAACCCTACAAATAATTCACTTTAGACAATTGAGACATCACTTTAGACTAAAAGCATGCAAAATTTTCATAAAAGTAGTTTAATCCCACACCTGGGACACTTACTCATCCTGTGCCAGTCTAGTAGCCATGTCTAATTTACTCATCATGTGCCACTCTAGTAGCCATGTCTAATTTACATAGGTGGAAATAATTACCCTTGCTAAGTACCAAGACTGACTCCAATAATAATAATACACGTCATTAGCCAAAATTGTGTCCTGCTACATATCCTAAATCTAAGCATCATAGATTAAAAATTGTATTACATGATAGAATAACATAAAAGAACTCAATCACTTGATAACAATTCACAAGAGAACATGCTCGGATGTACCAATAATCATACACATCATACATAATAAAACTATCCTCTAAATTTCACTTTTGCTTTCATTAACGAACAAGCATATAAACATGAACAAGCAGTCATACTTATAGCTCTAGTTTGAGGCCTAGCCAGTCAAGAGAAATTAATTATGGATCAGTTCAAACACTACAAAGAGACAAACTCGACAAGGCGCTTAAACTAAAAGATTGGAGCTAAAGCTGAAATTTAATAACCATGATAGCATCAGCAATTGGTAGTTGCCTAACCCAGTTTACCTCAAGTCAAGTTTCTTCCAAATCTGACCCTTGGACCTCAAGTTTTTGCTCTTCGAAATAATCTAATTAAGCATGAAAATCAAATCTTGTCAGAAAGATACAGAAACAAAACGCCAGAAATTGTATACAGTTACTAAAGAATTAATCAAGATATATTCTCAAATTCATCCTTCAAAAATTGTGAATTATCAATTACCCAAAACCCTAACTTTCTACCAATAAATTTAGTAAAAACCTATCTGTAGATCTAAATTATAATATCCAACAAACAAAACCAAAGGTAACAATGGAAATTAATAGATGAAAAATCAAAAATCAAAAAACAAAAATAACTTATATATTTATCCAAATGCATTTCAAGGATAATAAAGAAAAACTAAGTCTAAATTACAATTCAAAATTTACTACCTATGTAATCTAAGAACTAAAAACGAGAACAAATTAAAACTAGGGATTTGTTAAACATCGCCCACAAATCTCTACAAAAAGCCCACAATTATTTTTACTTTGACTCTTTTGCCCTTTTTTTAATTTTCATCGAAAACGTAATTCTCTCTCACGAAAAATGTGGAGCCGGAGTGGATCGTCGAGGGACATCGGAGAGCCGTCATCGTCGCCGGAAAGTGAGGTAGTTTGGGGAAAAAATACAAAGTAGGAGTGGCGTTTGGCCAGGACACCGCCACCGCCACAGTTTTCAAATTTTTTTTTTTTATAATTTAATTTAAAGTTTTTTTTTTTGTGGTTTTTTAACTTTGATAATTTGAAATTAAATATGTGTTAAAATAAAATAAAAATAAAATATGTGATAATTTGAAATTATGTTTTAAATATGTGTTGATAAAATTATGTTTAATTTTGTATGTGTAAATTAAATATGTGTTAATAATTTCAAAAAAAAATATGTTTTAATTTTGTATGTGTATGAATACTTTTATACATAATTATGTGTTAATTATGTGTAAATTTAGAAATTAAATGTATTATGCGTTAAATATAGAAATGAAATTTACAAATCAAAAATTTAGAAATTACTTATGTGTTAATTTTGTGTTAAATGTATTAATTTAATCTTTATATAATTATATGTATTTAAAAATAATATGGCATTGTTGCAGGATTATGGTGGAGATGGAAATGATTATAGTGGGATTTTCGTACACGGTCGTATGATGTATTGAGTTCATAGCGCAAAACTCAGCCGAGAAAATGAAAAGGGATGATCTGAGTAATAAATCAAAACCAAATTAAATGAAATTCTGCAACATTTGAGATTGTCAATCAATTAGACTAAAACCCAAAATAATTGAAACGTAAATCAACTAAAACGCTCAATAAACCCCATGCACGCAACATGTCATACAGTTAAACTCTAGATCTAAATACCATGGCTTTCTACTACTACAAAATAAATAAAAATTCAATGTAATTTCACAGCAAATCAATAAAACCAAGTATATATGAATGATATTCAAGCACAATAGCAAGGAAATTGATTAGAAAAAGAACGATATTACCATAAATTGAAGAAATTAACAAGCAGCAGAAGAAATTTAACACAACTTCGACCCAAATTCGGTAAATTTCAGGTGGCTTCAAAAGATAACTATGATTGTATAACATGATAAGAATACATGATCGTGATGAACAATTAGTTTTAAAGTATGAATTTTTCAGATCTGAAAGCTAGAGAAAGAGAAGAGGGAGAGAGAGAGTTTATATTACGTGTGTGGGTAGCAGGGGCGGTTTCTGATTTTTTTTTATTTTTTTATTTTTTATGTTTTAAAATTTCATACACCGCTCTTTTGAAGTCATGGGTCCCATCCTTGTGATGTAAGCCTACGGCCCCCCAATCATTCCTTTCCAGCGTTTCGACGCTATTCCTTGTATTTGTATTGCTATTTTTATTCCAGTTATTTATTTTTTGTATTCTAATTTTGACTAAGTTTATATCTTGCATGCATACTAATTAGTATTTGCGCGTTACAAACTAAAAAGATAATGTCAAATTTTATAAACTTAAAATGATAATGTCAAATGTTACAAACTTAAACAATAAAGTCAGATTTTACAAACTACTATGATACTGTACAAAATGTTCTATAAATAAACTGCCAACAGATCAGTAATCTCTCTTTGACGCCCACTACCACTACACAAGGTTCTCGACCGTTTTCTGCCCCGAGCTCTCCATTGAATAGTTTCTACTTCTAATAACTTCCATACTCTTCTCCGCACCGGGTCGAAAATGCAATGTCTAACTCCATTAAAAAAATTAAAATATATATAAACATTAAAAAAATTAAAAAAAAAATAACGAACCAAAAAAAATATCAAATAAAAAAAATAAATACTAAAAATTTGACATAAAAAAAATTAACAAAACACTGCAAAATAAATAAAAACAAAAAAAATACAAAATGAAAAGAAAAAAATTACCAAAACATACAAAATAAATATATATAAAAAAACAAAAAAAATACAACAGAATTGAAAAAAAAAACAAAAAAAACATACAAATAATTGAAAAGTAAATATAAACATAAAAAAATACGACAGATTTGAAAAAAAAAATATATAAATAAACAAAAAAATACAATAAAATGAAAAAAAAAATATATAAACATAAAAAAAAACAAAACAAAAATCTGAAAAAAATATAAAAAAAATAAAAAAAGGGTGGCGGTGCCCAGGCCAAACGCCAGCCCCATGGCGGCGGCGGTTAGGCAGGACGCCAGAGCCACGGCGGCGGCGCCCTCACAAGACACCACCACCGTGGCCCTGGCGTCTCGCCCAGCCGCCGCCGCTGTGGGACTGGCTTCTGGCTTGGGCGTCGCCACCGTGGCCACGGCGTCCTGCGGGGCGCCCCGCCCTCTTCTAGGTTTTATTTTTTATTTTTTAAAAAAAAAAAATTAGCTTGCCACCGTGACCGCCTTCCTCCGCCGCCGCCAATTCCTTGCGGTAGAAAGAAGATGGGTGAGAGGTTGGGTGATGAGAGTGTGTGAGGTTTTTTTTCATATTAAGGGCAAAAGTGTCAATTCAATGAAAATTTGTGGGCTTTATGTGGAGATTTGCGGGCGATGTTTAGCAATCCACTAAAACAAAAACAAAATTATAACAATGTCCTTCATATAACAGAATCTTTTAATGAAAGAACACGAACCTTGCAAAAATTCTTGGTGTAATTGAATCAGAAGAAAATCATATTGTTGAACCCTTCGTGACTCGGATTGAAAGAAAATCGATATATCGAGAAATGATGAGAGCAACGGATCATGAGACAAACAAAATTAGAGAAACGGTGTAGAATTTGGGAGAATAAGTGAAGAAACCTAATCTAAAAAGTTTGAAAACAGAATAGTAGTGGGAACCAAGAAAACTCTTTTTCTTTTTCTATTTTTTTTTTTGTTTAATTGTTCATTTTTTATACACAATTAATTGTTCATTGACGAATAAAGATTGACCCATTGTTAGTGGTACCCCATATTGGCCATATAATAGCGGTTTATTCTTAACCATTGTTGTATGTTTGTTTTAAATCAATAAAATTTATAAGAACCCCTTATAACAACAGATGGAGAAGGAATCATTGTTAATTAAGTGTTGGATTTTCAACCTTTTGTAGTAGTGTAAAACAAAACTGTGCATAGTTAGTGAAAAAGTTACACACCAATCCATCTCATTAGAAAGAGTGAGAGAGATATATGTCAAATTGAAATTTTTTATCTGATTGTTTTATACTCCATATTTTGGTTGCTAAATTATTTCATCCAAGTTTCTAAAGCGTCTTAATTTGTACTAATAAAGTGATGTGTCTCTTACCGCGGGTACAAAGGCTACAAAAGAAGAATATTGATGCGCTTGAAAAGGTAAATTACTTGTATAATAAGTTAGATAGATCTTAATTTTAAAATTGCACCATTAAATTGATGTGTTAACTGTACTTTTATTGCAGTGGTTAGATCTAAAGAATCTGAATACAAGTCTCCTGAAAAGGGTAAATTTTCTATCCCTAACAATGAAATTATTTTAAATATTTTAACAATTGATTAAAGGAAAAATTATTATAAATAATCCAACTTTTGCTCCATTCTCCCAAAATAAACCAACCTTTGGATTATTTCAAAATAATTCAACCTTTTACCCCCATCTTCCAATAACGAACCCAAATGACATGTTCTATTTTTTTATTTCATTTTTTTCGTTTTGACCACCTTATACAAAAAACAACCACCACATACACCTTTGGCCACCACTAGCACCAAGACAACCACCACCTACCGCACTTCACCATGACTCAACCCCCGTCCAGCCCCAAAACAACCTCCGTCCAGCTCCAAAACAACCTGTCAACCACCTGTTAAGGACCCCACCCTCATGAAAGCAACCACCCCAAACCCAAATCAAACCATTACTCACCTGTAAACAACCCTCACCCCCAAAACAACCCTAACATACGAAATCAGCCCCCTCGCCACCGAAAACCCACCGCCACACCATCGAATTAACCGCTCACCCATACAAAATCATCCCTTCACCCACCCATAACCTTTACCCAACTACCTTCTCTTCTTCTCTCTCTAGAAAACCATCCACCAAATTTCTCACCTCCTTTCTCTTTCCTCTATGAACCACGGTTTTGGTGATGGCATGGATGGTGGGGGTGGTGGTTTTACTTACGGCATTGTTGCATAGTGAGGGATGGTAGTTGTGGTGGTGGGTTGTGAAGAGGGAGTTGACGAGGAGAGAGCACAGGGTAGGTAGTTTTGACAACGGTGGTGGTGGGGGAAGATAGAGAAAGAAGCGGTGGTTAAAGGGAGTACGCGATGGCTGATTTTGGTGTTGGTGAATCGAGGGTGATAGAAATGAAGCTGGGGATATCGGTCGAGTTTGTGGTGGGCGTGACGGAAATGGAGGTGGGTGGGGATATGGGGCTGATTTCGTGGTGGTTGTTGTGGGTTGTAGTGATGTTGGTGGGTAAGTGGGAGGGGAGGTAAGGAGGTGGTCATGGAGGAAGGATGAAGGAGGTGGTCATGGAGAAAGAGAGAGGAGAGAGAAAGAAGTGGGGTGGGTTTTTTTTTAAAAAAAATAATAAATAAAAAATAAACCAATAAGAAAATGACACGTAGGCAAAACAATCGGTTATACCAGCTCGGTGACCCGCTGGGTTGATATGGGAAGATGGGGGTAAAAGGTTGAATAATCCAAAGGTTGGTTTATTCTGGGAGAATTGGACAAAGGTTGGATTATTATTTAAAGTATTTTTCGTTGATTAAATAGGTTTTTTTACTTTTTACCATTAGTGTTAATTTTTTCTTTGTTTTAATGTATTTAGCTAAGTGAATCTCTTAGAGTGCAAGACAGTATGGCCGACGAGATCGGCATACGTGATGCTCAGGTGGAAAAGCTGGTTAGTAAAAACCTATATCCTTTTGTCTATTTATTTCTGTTTAGAGGAAAGAGTAAGTTGCTACTCACTGCGTATAAAATTAGTTGCAACTTATGTAATGTTGTGAACTGACTTTGGGCTGTGATTAATATGATTAAGCTGGACTAAATAAGGAAAAATGGACTAATATTGATAATGATATGAAATAATACAAGAGAAGACGATAATACAACTTAATAATACACAACATAACATCAAACTTTCATCATTCATCATCCTATGTGATAACCTAGTTAACAACTCTAGAGACCTTCTAGTATCTAAATTATTAAAACATTCTAAAATACCCTTAGCCTACTCATACTGATGCATAACATGTAATTTCTAAAAATTTCATATAAGTTGCTACAATGTTTTATTTCTTTATTTAGAAATTCATTTCTCCCTATCTGTCTTTCTTCAATTAACGCTCAGCAGAATCAGTTTTGAGAAGTTTATTGCAACTTATTTGACACGGTGGAAGTATTAATCTGCTTATTATAGATAAACAACCTCAAGCTGATGACTGATGAGCGAGACAAATTAAAGGCACAAGTTGAAGAGCTGTTGACAAATGAGGATAAATTTAAACTTTTTTTTCAATGTATTGAGGATAAGATAAAATTCATGGTTTCTTGGCACTTTCATAACTCCATGCGTTATACTTGATAGCTACTACAACTCTAAGCTTATAACTACAGATATCCCACACTAAGATCCCTTTACTTGCAGGTTTCGATAGCACAACATGAAGCAGATAATCTTCCAAGGAGAGTAGCCAAACTGGAAGAGAAAATGCATGAATATGAGTTGTGTGTATATGCCATTTTTTTTCATGGTGCAATATTAGTTAATCTGTTCTCTCATTACTCCTCCCTATCACAGTATTACCACCAAAACCGGAACAAAGATAGACACAAACAGCAGTGCTTGCCTGGATAGTGAGGCTGCAGTGTTCCCGATACAAGTAGGAAACAACTCCACTACATGCATAAACAAGATATTAAACACCATACAAGCGCAAAACAATGCCATTAGCAGTAGTCCAGCATGTACCTTTATGAAAATGACCAACTGTGATGAAAATTACGCTGGCAGCACCACTAAATGTGCAGAAGCCCAACACTGAACTCCGTCTGTTGCATATGGGAACCCAAAAGAGGCAAGTAAGCAAGAGAGATACAAGGAGTTGTACAGCATTGAATGTTAAGCTCAAGTAAATGTTGAGACCAAAACCTCCCACACCCAACAACATACCGAAATACATCATTCCAACCCCGAAACTTATTATCATAGCTACAATCGACCTTTGAATAGCCCATTATCTCTTGAATAAAACCTTGATCGAACCTTTTTCCTGTTTCTGGGATTACCTTGTTCGAATTCTAGCATGTTTGGCAACGAAGAGATCATCTGATCATCTAGGGTGCCAATACTTTTTAGCACTTTCACAGCGTCCATTTGTCGCCCCCTCATGAAGAGCCACCTAGGAGATTCACAGAGGAGAAAATATATTAATATGGAGCATATGATTCCTGGAATGGAAGTACAATAATAAAGAAGTCTCCAAGAGGAATTACGAGTCAGGCAAGCCAAAGCCGTCAAGGTTAACAATCCCAATGATAAGAAGAGTAAGCCAAGCATAACAATTTGTCCTCTCCACCGCTTACCAACCCACTCTGATAAGAGGACAAAAGAAGAAATGGTAATGGATACACGACCAACATGTTATGACTTGCTGGCAGGGGAGTGATAGCTACAGATAATGGTGCAAGCAATATTAACAGTAAGAGTGTAATAAAGGCTGCACAGAAAGATATGGAAGGGGAAAGCTTGTATTGATTGATTGAAGTGAAACCTACCCCAGCACTAAAGACAAACTATTCTACAATACAAACTATTTTCTCTCTTTTCTCTTGAATGAATCCCAATACTGCTAACCTCATTACATATATAAGCACCATTCATCCTTATTCCCTCCCTTTCATTGGCTAAGCAAAAATATAAAATATTAGTTAATGTCAATATTGCCCTTTTTGTTGCGACGAGCATAAGTGTACCTCACAGGAGGCCTATGCATAACACAACAAGCAACAAAGCGGAATATGGATTATGGAGTAAAGCCATATGTTAGGAGAAAAGGCTGAGGCAAGTAAAGCTAGTGACATAATCAAGCAGGAGAGGGAGACAAGGTTCTTTCGACCTAGTGATAAATCTCCCATGGAAGACAATAGGCTAATTCAACACCTATAGATTATGGAACACCAATAGGCTAATTATTACAATGTATCAACGACAAAGGGTATAATGTTGATAGCACCCTTAATTAACTAGCTTTCCCATTCTTAAGTGCTATTTGCTCATTAAGAATATTATGACATGTTATAACTTTTAAAAGCATATTAGTTAGGTACATAGGGTTTTCAAATCAATATGAGTTGATGGTCAGTTAACAAGCAATAGTACTTCGTATAATCGAGCAAAGATATAATGTAATCAGTAAGATTATGCAGATGCAATAAAAAAGGATCTTTGTTCCTACTCTTGTAAGTCAATAAAGGTAAGATCAATGTGCTCCACACGTATGTAGATACACAGAATACAACCAAAAATTGTATGTCATATGTGATAATTAGTATGGTTGCATTAATGACAATTCACCCAGAGAAATATAAACTCTAAAGTGTCATTATCCGAGCCTCAGTGGGACAATTATGTTGGTTGCTTCGTGATCAGTCAGAATCCACTCTGATGCAAGCTTTTCTACTCAATGGTCAATATATAGCGGGAGAATGATAGGCAGGAACTTGCTGTTCTTCTGAGAGAAAAGTACTTTATAATACTAAAAAAGGAAAAGGTCACGTTTAGATAACATTATTAAAGACACAATCATATATAATGATGATAAAAATATTAGGCTTCTTTTATGAATAAAAAGATAAGCTGCAATTCAATCATGCTGCCTTTTCATATTGTTGTTCACAGTGATTGATGTAAAATGTAAAGATGGTGAGAATACATCTGCTGACAAGAATTACAAGTTAGTAAGTAACCATACCTTTAACTTGTCTAGCAAAGATTTCTTCACTACGATAGAAATTCACGTCAAGTTAGTGATACCCGTACTTGTGTTGTGTAGATATGTCATACTTGTTGTGCTCTGGGAAAACGCATAAAGTGTTTGGCCTGTGTCCTCAATCCTCATATGAGTCACATCAATATCATCTCCAAGGTAGCCAACTCTATATAAGAGAATGCCAAGTACACATGACAACTGATAGCCATAATACTATAACAACTTGTAAAACAAGTGAAAAGAGTTTGTAATTTAATTGAAAAGTCCTACAAAAGAAATACGGATGGATCAAATGCTTATTTACATATGATGTTCGACATTCATGTTACATACAGAAAAAATTGCCAGCATGATCTACAGAATGCATCCAAAGGAAACAAAAAGCATATATACAACAATCTGGAATTGGTCTTTGAAATGAAAAACGAAAAAAGTAACAGCTTACTTACAAAGCCAAAATTCATGAAATATCCTAAACATGCAAGACATAAAAACAATCTCTTGCTTAATACAACTAGCAGAAATCAAGCCAGTTACATCATTGTATAAGATGCAATGAGGCAAGTGGAACCTATTTTCATGATCTACCAAACTAGCTCTAGCATCTGGAAAACCTATTTTCAAGGATGATTCAAAAACCACAGGATAACAAGAGAATGATATGAATAACATGCTGGAGTGTTCATAAAGATGTAATGTTATAATGTACTAATAGATGGTCTTCAGTCATAACATGTGAAAAAAGAAACAATATTTAAATTAAAAAAAACACTAGATCTAAGGTTCAACTGTTGCACCATTAACATTATATATATCGTATCATATTTGCAAAGATATAAGGCAGCAAATATGTATGTACAATCACGGCACTTCTCTCAAATATGCACTCTAGTCAATTTATGTAAAGCAACAGGCCAATGGTTCTGTTAACCTCTTCTCTGATCTCAACTTTCAGTGTTTTTAAAGGCCTTATCCTGTAATTGGGTAATGTTGCTTTATGTGTTTCTTCCTGTTGACAAAAATTCTATTACATTCAATTCTTCACCACATTTAGTACCAAACCTAGCTTAGTGACACTGCAGAAATACAATCATCAAATCTTCCAGCAAATCATTGTATGCAACGCTGCCTGAGTTTCTTCAGTTCCACCAGGTCTAGTCAAAACACTTGTTACCCCAAAATTTCATTCTCTACATTATGTTGATCAAGGATGAGGATTTCTTAAAAATGTTTATGAATCATAGAAAACCACTTATTGCAGGTGTCTTCCCAAAAATAATAGATACCTACCAACATATGCTAGAAAATAGAAGCTGAGGATTTCCAAAAAAAATTTGTATATCATAGAGAAACACTCATTGCCACTCTACTTCCCAAAGATAATAGATACCTACTAACTCGTGCTTGAAAATTGAAAAGAAAACTTCTTGTTAAGGCTAGAAAACTGTATCGGTGTCAGAAAGCAAACACATAAAATTTTCATTGTATCTTCGATCATTTTGTTCCAGAAAGTCATCACTCGTGAAAGCACAGACTTACTATTCAATTATTTACGCTTGTAATGTTTGAAGCAATGCATCACCCATGTATTTAGGCATGCCCCCACAAGTCCTTGTGTATATTCAAAGTATTAAGACTACATGAGCAGGAGGCATATGCACCAACAACACTTTCAATGTTCTAAAATCTGACAAAAAACACTCAACAAATGATATGACATTACACACAGCCAAAGACACAGTTAGCAACTTCAGACCTCATAACACATCAAGACATCACCAAACACCCTAAACCATTATTCACCCCCAAACAAGAAAATTTTTACTATAGATCAAGAAGAGCAACAACACCACTGTAGATTACATTGAAGCAGGGTAGCGAAGGTCTACAGCTACAATGCCTTATTTCTGATCAATTGCTCCTAGCAAGGACTTACTACATAATTCTTTAAAAAAAATAAAGGCTTCTCTAAAGCTTAATAGATACCGGCATCTGGTTGAAATTCTACTTCTTGGCCTGTAAGATTGTATATGGGTGGACTGCATGTTGAAAACTCATTATCATTTCTCATTCTCTACAATGTGGTGTCAATGCACAGCGATATTATATACCATCTCCTAAGCATTAAAATGACAAATGATAAAAACAATACATAAAACAAAAACGGGAAAAATGCAGCAACGTAAAACAACAGACCTGAAGCCATCATAGAATTGGGATACAACTACCAGTCTTATCTCGAGCTTCTTGCTCTTCCATGGTATCACATAGTACCTTACCCCTTGTTTCAGGCAAAAAAAATGACCAAAAGGCCACAAAAGAGAATGGTCACCCGGAAGACTACTGGAGAGAAGAGCTGATTACTCCTCCCTATTACCACCAAAACTGGAACAAAGATTGATGCAAACATCAGTGCTTGCTTTAAGAGTGAGGCAGCAGTGTTTCTGACACAAGTAGGGAACAATTCAACAACATATATAAACAAGATATTAAACATTAACAAGCGCAAAATAGGGCCATCAGCTCCAATCCAACATATATGCTCTTATGATGATGGAAATTAAATTGGCCGCACCACTTAATGTGCAGTACTCCTACAGCATCAGGGAATCCAGAGGAGAAAAGTAAGGAAGGAAGATTAAAGAGGTAGGAGAGCATTAAATATTGAGCTTAAGTACATGTTAAGAACCAAGTAAGGCTCCATATAACAAGAGAATGATACAAAAGACATGCCAGAGCGTTGATAAAATGTAATCTAAGAATGTAGTTATATATGATGTTTAAAGATTTTTGGTATGCAAAGAGTGAAGAGCGAGCACGCATCACAGAAGATGTATGGGGGTCCAGAAACACAAAATCAGTTAAAAAAATTAAATTAAATGAGAGTCAGTCGCCCACAGGAATTGCAAAATGCACGTACAGGGAGCTGGTCGAGGGAGGATGGAATACTAACCTAGTGTGGAAGGGGCTATCCTTGCTTTCAACTAACTCAAAATTTCTCCAAACAAAATGAAGATCACATATCATTTGGAATATGCAATTAAGATATTGGAGTCTACTCAGGGAATTCAAGGCAGCCATTACAAGAAAAGGAACTTTTGGAGGTCAAACTTTCTCCCAAGGTGGGTGGAACATACATACATACATACCGATCAAATCATCTATCTCTATCTATATCTCTATCTCTATCTCTTTAGAGACTTAAGAATGAATGCACGGGGTTGGTTCAGAGTGGATAACTTACTTGACTAGATTGGATCGGAGAAAGACGACTGCCACTGCCAGGATAGAATTCGATCTGCCGGAATGGTATTTCTTACCCATCTATGCCATTATTCGTAGTATACCCGACAAATCGGGAGGTGTAGCCGCAATAGCATTCAAGGGAGCTCACCAAATCCAGTAGAGCCGAGCCATCAAAAGGAACTGGTTTAGCACAAACAACACGCTGTTGGGAGTATCCTCTCCTTTAATCATTCAGATCGACGGAATTTCAATTACAATACTGTACTGTACTGTATGTTAGAGTTAATTATAATGAGGTAAGGTAGGTAGGCCGGAATCTTGTATGATCTGGCAACACGTGCTAGAAAAGGCAAAAGGGTAGTTTTTTTTGGTTGATATTTTTCTAGCACACTAGTTGTGGACCCGCACGGTTCCCCAAGTTATCAATGTATTTTCTCAATTGATTTTGTTATCGGTGTTGCTTCTCGAGTGATTTTTTTGACATTTTATCATCTATCAAGATTTGCGGTTTTCCAAGTTATCAATGTATTTTGCGAATGATTTTGTTATTGGTGTTGTTTCTCGAGTGATTTTTTTTAACGTTTTACCGTCCATCAAAATTTGGGTTCTGGTCACTTGGAGCTCACCAAGTCACCATGCCGCCAAAAAATGTGATCATGGGTTCAAATTAATGGATGATTAACCAACATAAGCTAATTCTCCCCCAAAAGCAAGAGTATAACTTGCACGTGTAAAAAAAAGAGTATAACTTTCACTAATATCTATTAACATTTCAACAAACTGTTTTATAAAAAGAAACAACAATTTTTAAAACAATAATCATATGAACAACAAAGCCAAAAATGAATACCCAAAAACATGATGAAATTTCAACAATTCAAAAAAACCCACCGAATCAATTCAATATTTTTGCATTTTGCAGAAGTACCAGCAAGACGAGACAAAAATGCTGTGTAATTAAACGAAAGTAAACAGCAAAAAAAAACAAAGGAAAAAAATCACAATAATAATCTGTATGACATTAACTAAACCATGATCAATGGAAGCATTTCACTCTTTTCAGTTGTTCTACAACAAAAGGCTGCTAAATGAATAGAATTATACAGCTCAAATGCAACCATCAAAGTTAGCTACAATCCTTTGCTATGATAATTACCACCAATCATTGCAAATTTAAGAGAGATTGCCAATAATTGCTTAAGATTAGAACAACACTACCAAATAAGAATTTCAATCACTATAAGAATGATGAGGAAGAAAGAAAGATAATGAAGCCAAAGAATAACATCAGAATTGCCAATAACTGCTTAAGATTAGAACAACACTACCAAACCTACCTCTCAGGCTGAGATAGCCTCACAATTGTGCACCTACGCTTACTGCTGCAAGGTCTCCGTGGTGACGGATTAGATTGTTGGCCATCTATATCAACAACTATTCAAAATAAGCTATATAACAAATGTTTATTGGCAACTACAAACTTTCTAAAGAGCAAACAACAATCAAGCTATATACAAGCACATATAAACACTATACATCTAACTATGTATATTTTTCCCAAAGCAATGAAGGGAACAACTACTTTTTAAAATTGCTAAGCATATTGCTGGTAACAACATACCACATCTTGCTTTGCATTCCCCCGTGAAGGAAGTAAACATGCAAAAGCTACTCAAACTAAGATAAATTCTAAAATATTTTACTGATTAGATTGAGACTATCTACAATTATAACAACTATAAACTGGCCTTTCCAATCAGAACCAAGCATAACCACCTCCAAACACACATAGGGACTTATCACTGAAATCCTTAACACACAGTTAACCCTATTAAAAACAAAGGAATTACCCATTGATTTAATTAGTATGCAATGTCTTCTATTTCAGCATCTAACCTCCACTTCCCAAGCTGCACTGCATATAATTCACCTAAGCTGCCTGTAAAAAAGGCAATCAAGCTCAGTCCCAATGCATCAGCAATAAGGAAAAACAATATATATAAGTGTAATTATAATACTAAGAACAAACACGAACACAATTTTAATAAATTAAAAAGAAAAGCAACATTGAATTGTCTTTGGTAACCGAAGCAGTAGACATACAAATGTAGCTGATATAGTTATATACTCCTATTATTACCTATAGTAAAACAGGCTAATGAATAACGGTATTACAATTGGAATTGTAGCAGATCAACTACAAAGAAACCAGTAAAGTAACCAATAAGGAAAAAGTGGGAAAAAACACCAAGAATGAGAAAATCATGGGGAAAAGGCCTTTAAAATGGACTCCCCAAAAAAACCAACTGCTTAGTCTACATAATGAGTTGATGAGATGTAGCTATTGAAAAACAGTAGACCAAAAAGCAACAAAAGAGGAAAGTGCCGCAAAAAGAGCTTCTCTTAATCTGTAGCATTAATAGTTGTAGATTTAGGGGAAAAAGGATGATCAAAATGCTTCTCTTGAACAAATGTATTCACTTGAGCCCTTAACTAATTTCCTTACTTCTCACCATAGTTCAAAAACTCTTCATAATTAGATATAATATACCAAGTAGGGTTAACAACAAGCACAGGTTTCTTTTCCACCCCTAGGCAAATCACACAAATTTCCATTCAACAGCACACAAATTTCAACAACACAATAGCAACCCAAAAATACAAAAGAACCCCAAAAAAAGGAATTAAAAACAAAAAAAGAACTGTTAAAAACTCCCGAGAAAAAAACGAATTTGTTTAAAAAAGACCTTTAAATTAATATAGTATACCAAGTTAATTTTAAATTATTTTTTTGGGCTTTCCTTTTACACTGTATATGGGTAAGTTGTAGCTTCTTTTGAGTCAATAGTTATTTGTCTTATTACATGCACCCAAGAGAGTGTACATGCACATCACAGAGGCAGATGACTTCTGCAGGTCAGTATAGCATATATCTAATAATTTGCAATCATAAGTTAAGTGTACTTTGAAATTGGTTAGACGTGCCAGTCATTTAGCTTAATCAAGAGCCAAAATTTTATTGAGGTTGGGTGCAAAATTTGTAAGTTTTATCCACTGCAAATTCATCAAAATTAATGCTCTAACAACTTCATCTAAAAGAGAGGAATAACCAGTGATTTGCTCAAGAAATAACACGCATTATTAGAGTTTTATCAAGAAAACATTATAATGATTTGTATTACTTCAGCATAATCAAACACCCTCAAAGAGACAACATCATCTTGATTCAAATCAATGCCAAAATTGACCAAGCTAGAATCTTTATCTAGCCCAAACATGGTGCAAAATTTGATCACAACAACAGAGATCTAGCGCTACTGAAATAACAGTAAAAGATCACAGAAACAAATAAATCAGTATGCGAGGAGGAAAATCTGAAGGCCACCCTATATGACCCAAAAATTCAAACCATCACCCTCAGCTCCAATATAACAATAGCCAACAACAAATCAATTGCTGTTGGGCAACATCTCCTTGAGATTGCCAGCAAAAATTCCTGCAAAGATGCAAAGTGCTGTTCCCTATTTTTTTGATGTTTTGGTTTCCATATGTCAATTAATTCAGTAAGTAGTCAATTGTTGTATCAAGACCCTTTTCATCGCCCACAGCTATCATGGCAATGCCAAGAACAACTACTTCATTGTTACAGTCATCATACAGGGTATTTCATGTTAATCTGACTATTGAGTAGAAGCAACAGAAGGAGAAATAATTCAAATTAAAGTCAGCTAATCCACAAATATGTCTATTACCCGGCCTCTTCTTGATTCCAACAGCTTATACACAAGTAAAACAACCCACTAAGCTAAACCCAAAAAAAATGTCAATTAATAAAGCTTACTTTAATTGGGGCAGATTAAATAATACTTATTCCAGAATTAAAATCGCAGCATAACACTACAAAATCACAATAATTAAATTAATCCAAAACAAGAATAACATCTCAATCAAAACTAAACAGAAAGGAAAAAAATAAAAACAGAGAAATTTGTCCGAAATCAAATTGTTACCATTGATGAACACAATATTGATGAAATTGTAAGCAAAAACAATCAATGAAAAGGCCAAAAAGAAAGATTACCTCTTGGTTGCACTTGAAGAACAGCTCGTGCAGGCAACTTTATTAGCTCCCAAAATATGGAGAAGGAGATGAGAGTGGAAAAGATGGGAGAAGAAGAGTGAGGAGAGAGATTGAATGAGATTCTTCAAAAGCAAAAAGGATTTTTTAACGTAAATAGAAACCTTTGCCCGGTTCTCCCAAAATGCACAAACCTATAAATCTGCCCATATTAGACAGAAATTTGCCATTTTTCGCCCATAATAGACTGAGTTTACCGGCAACCGGTTATTCAAGTTACCTGAGTCATACTCGAGTTAACTCGGACACACCCACCCATTCTCACTTCCTTCTCCCCTTCACTTTCTCTCTCCTAAATCCAAAATTTCCGCCATTAACAACCTTCAACTTTCTCTCTCCTCCTTCATCAATGGATTCTCCCCCAATCTACCGTCTCCCTCAAGACACCCTTCACATGATCTTCATCAAACTCCCTCTTCGTGAAATCATAATCTGCAAATCCATCTCAAAACCCTTCAACAACCTCCTCACTTCACCTTCCTTCTGCCACCTCATCTCCTCCCTTCACCCTCCTCTCTCTCTCCTCGCTCTCCGCCATAACCACCACCCACCCCGAAACCACCACAAACTCACTTATAAAACCGGTCATAATCCCCCTAAATTCACCTCCCATATTTACCAATTTTGCATTAGATTTGAGTTTTCAAACTTAATGTTACATTCCCCTTTTCGCTTTTCAATTTCTAGGGTTTTAGTTTCAATTTCGACAAGGGGGGCGGGGACTCTCACGAGGAGGGGCAGCGACTTCGACTTTGAAGAGGAGGAGGGGCAGGTTAGGTGGGGATCAAGTGGTGGCTGTTATGGTGGTTATGGAGAGGCGGTGGTGGTGCTGTGCTTGGAGGTGTTGCTGGCGATTGGTGTTGATGTTGTGGTTGTTCTTTGTTGTGGGGTGTGGCTGGTAGTGGGGTGAGGGGAGGGGGCTGGCAGTGGGGTGGTTTTGGTTTTTTTTTTTATTATTTATTTCTTTTTTAAAAAAAAAAAAAAATTCAAAATTTAAAAATTAAAAAAAAAAAAAAAAATTGACCAATGGTTTAATGACAAGTGGACTTTTACCTGTTATAATAGGTAGGTGACCTGCTTGGTCCATTATGGGCAAAAAAGGGCAAACTTCTGTCCAATATGGGCAGATTTATAGGTTTGCCAAAGATTGGTCTATTTACGTTAAAAAATCCAAAGCAAAATGAAAGGTTTAGATGAAAACCGGGAGATGACAGTCAAAAAAGATTTTTTTTTTTATTTATTTATTTAACTAAAGGCAGGGGTAATAACATCATTGCACTATTCATTTGAACAGAGCTTATAGATACTAATTATTTGAACTGCTGGAAGTATAAACTTTTATTGAATAATAATAACATAACATATCCAAGAAAAAAAAAAAAAACATATCCAAAAAAAATAAACCCTTTCTTTCTCTCTTTTAATTTTTTAACCACCTCCGCTTATAGATACTGTTTATTATTCCCAAATTACAGCTAATCTTTTTTTAATTCCCACCTTATCGTCCACGTCACCGGTTCAGTGGGAATTAATTTTAAAACGGGTTTATCAGAAACCGCTACCTCAAGTAGCAGTGTACTGATTAAAAACCGCTACTTCAAGTAGCGGTGTACTGATTAAAAACTGCTACTTCAAGTAGCGGTTTACTTATTAGAAACCGCTAGTTCAAGTAGCAGCTTGTATTTATTAAGTTTTTTTTAACAAAATTAGTTTCCCCTTTTCCTTCCTTGGTAAAATAATTCGAGCTCAAACATCCCCAAATAAAAAAAAAATAAAAAAAAAAAAATCGACACTACTCCTCAAAGCACTACTCCTTTCACCTGCCAACGCATCAATCCCCAGCACCGGAAGCCGCCACATTTGCGTCGTCGTCGATGTCACCGACTTGCTCACGATTGGTTGCGGACGCCGATGTCAGAGAATTAGTGGGTTTGTTGTTGTTTGTTGCTGAATTAGTGATAAGTTGATTGTGCCCTAATTATTTTTTTTATTCATTCAATTATTAAATTAATTTGTTATTTTAGTGTAATTGTATGCTAAATTCATAGCACGTTTTTGACAATTTGTACTTAATTGTGTAGTTTCAATGTTGATGTTATCAAATTAATCAATGTTGATGTTAGACTTGTCGTAGACTTGTTGTAGACTTCCGCATTCTTTGTAGTATGCTTGTTGTAGACTTGCTGTAGAGTTTAACCAATGTGTTAAAAATAAAGTGATTGCTTAATCCTATACGGGGTGTTGTTTAAAGTGATGAAGAACTCAGCTTTAAGGTCTGAATAGAAGCTCCATTATCAGTTCTTTGGTATTCACCACTGGTACACATATTCTCTCAATCATATATCAAATGATAACAAAATTTCATTGGCCTGTTTCAAGGTAAGTAATTAGGGTGATACTGAGATCACAAGCAAATAACTAATGTTTAGAGAAGCAAAGACAAGTAAATGATAAATATATACATCAATAAGTGTGACCTTTATGTTGTCTTTAACATGAGCTTACCGCTGGCTAACTTATTACAAGTATAATATAATCCTTACATATGTTGCAAATTTATATTAGTTGGATTTTTTTAAGATGATTGAAGCAACCTGAAATATGTGTGCATGCAGGGGGGGTTTCTAAATAAATTTATATTCATGCTCGTCTAAATAAATTTTTGCAAACCTAATATCTTTGATTTATCATGGTGTTTTCTAAAATGAAACATGAAGGTACCAAACTACCCTCTATATTGCTATTGGGGTGGGGAAATTATCCACAAAGATAGTGATGTTACGTATAGGGGTGGAAATAAAAAAAATAAAAAAAAATTGTAAATCCTGGGATGACGTATTCACACGTTCTGAACAAGCTATATGAAGAATTGAGTATTGATCCTAGATTTGTGGAGTTAAAGGTGGTTATGCGACATCCTATGACTGGGGCATATGTCGAAGTTCCGTTGAATGACGACAATGCTCTTAGGGCTATGTGGATTGTTGTGACTTAGACTTCTTCGATTGGAATGCAATTGTACATTGAACAGGTTCCAAAGGAGCCAGTTGGGCAAACTAATACTGGTTCCTTTCCGGAGATGGACTATTTTTGTAGTATGGAGCAAGCAATTCCCCTTACTAATCAAAGTGTGGGGATAGGCTCATTCACAAGAATGCTTGTTGATCCTCAATATGTCAATGAACATCTTTCCACATCGCCTAATGTTGGAACCTCAACAAGCACACAACCACAAGCCATTCTCGATTACCCAAACAATGTTGATGTTTTTAGGGATGGTGAGATGAATGATACTAATGAATATGATGATGAAGATGTAATTAAAGCTCGTGATAAGGCAATTAAAGAAAGTGCTCCCACTACAGACTTCAATGAAGTGCCGCAAGTTGGTCCACGTTTGAATAACTCATGGATGACTTGGTTAGGAAATGAGACATATAACAATGGGGGGAATTTGAGGTTGGACAGCAGTTTGACTCATTGCAACAATTGAAAGATGCTTTGAATTCTTACTCCATAGCTAGAAAACAAACAATTCGAGTTGTGGAGGCAGAGCCAGAGAAATATGTTGCTCAGTGCAAGAGGAAATAACAATGTAGTTGTTCGTGGAGGCTTATAGGAGTGAAAGATCCAACAATTTCTACTTTTAAAATTGTTCGGTACAACGACCCTCATGCAAGTAATTGTGTTGGTGACATCGACTCGGTGGATCATAAGCTACTCACTTCCGAGTTTGTTTGCAATGCCCTTTTAGATGTCCTTCGCGTTGACCCTTCATTGAAAATCAAGACAATAGTGCAACTTGTGAAAGAGAAGTTTGAGTTCTCAATAACCTACAAGAGAGCATGGCTAGCGAAACAAAAGGCAATAAAACTCATTTATGGGGATTAGGAGGGTTCATTTCAAGAGTTGCCTAAGTACATGCAAGCGTTCAAGGAATCAAATCCTGGAACTCATGTTTTCCAACGAGTTTTTTGGGCATTCAAGCCATATATTGATGGATTCCGTCATTGTAGGTCCCTTATTACCATTGATGGAACTCATTTATATGGCAAATACAAAGGGACTCTACTTATTGCTATGGGAACCGATTCTAATTTTCAACTATTCCCCCTCGCGTTTGCGGTTGTTGAAGGAGAAAACAATGATAGTTGGTCTTGGTTCATGGCTTGTACTAGAACTCGAGTAACAGATAGAAAAGGGCTATATGTGATATCCGATAGACATGCTGGCATTTTAGCAGCAATGGATGAGGTTGGAAGTGGTTGGGAGGAGCCCAATGCCTACCACAAGTATTGCACACGTCACTTGGCTTCTAATGTGAATTCAAAGTTTAAAAGTGTCGTCATAAAGAACCTTTTTGGCAAAGCAGATACTGCAAGGCAGAAGAAGAAGTTTGATTACTACATCAACAAAATTGCTGACTTGAATGTAGGCCTGAGCACGGATCGGATATCCAATCCGAAACTGGATTTCGGATCGGATATCCGTATCCGAAAATCCGGATATTTGATATCTGTATCCGATCCGAAAATGTCGGATATCCGAAATTTTCGGATCGGATATGTCGGATATCCTATATCCGACTTCTTTAATAAAAACCTAGATCTACTTATATAATTATCGCAAAACAATTATACATAAAAAAGTCCAAAAATTAGAAATTAAAGTAATTAATTATATAAGTATAAACTACAATTACAAACTAAAATTCCAATAATATCAAAATTAATAATATAGTAAATATAAAATTGAAAAAAATAAACCTAGATCAATTTTCTAATCTAAATTAGAATTAGAGCTAAAATACAAAAACCTTGAAATTTCGAAAGCTCATGGGCTGCTAGAGTTGAAGCTTAGGCGGGCGTCGGTGCTTGGCTAGGGTTGAAAGCAGACAGCAGCATGGGCAGGGCGGCAGCTTGGGAAATGGGAACCCATCCCACCTAACGCCTATAAACCCATCCCACCCCACCACCAATTTCGACGCCTGTGAACCCATCCGACACCATCCTAGCCCACATTATTCACGTTGCTAGTGAATTTAACCCAATCCACCCCCATTCTCGAAGCTAGTAATTTAACCAAGATAATTTCAAAAAATTATGTAAATAATTCACTTGGGCTAGGTCGAACGGTGGAGTAGGAGGTGATGGTGGCCTGAGGTGACGGCGGCGACGAAGCCGAAGTTGCTACAGGTGGCGGTGCTGGGTATTTTGTTTTGAAGCAGTAAATTAATTCACTTGGGCTTGATTAAGAGAAAGAACAAGATGAATTTTGGAGAAATGTTTGGAATTTTGGAGAAGACGAATGAAATTAAGCAAATTTGTGTTCGATCTAAAATGAATAAGATGCTGAAGATATAGAGAAGGATGGGGGAGAATGAAGGAAAAGGGATGAGAGAGAAATGAGTAGGGGGGCGGTATAAAGTAGATCTAGGTTTTTAAGTTTTTATCCGAAAATATTTTAAAATGGTAAAAAAGTGTTTTTTCGGATTTCGGATCGGATATCCGATCCGATATCCGACTTTTTTTCGGATATTCGGATATGCGAAATTGAAATTTTCGATATCCGATATCCGATCCGAAAATGTTTTCGGATCGGATATCCTAAATTTTCGGATCGGATGCGGATCAGAATTTCGGATTTTCGGATTATCAGATAGTTTTGCTCAGCCTACTTGAATGTAGAGGCTCGTCGGTACTTGATGGAGATTTCGTACTATAAGTGGTCCATCCACCATGATGGTGGTTTAAGGTTTGGTGTGAAGACTACAAACATGTCGGAACTTTTCAATGGAGGCTTAAAAGGGGCTCGTTGTCTCCCAATAACTGCCTTAGTGCAAATGATCTTTTTTCGAGTTAACTCCTATTTTGCAACTAGACAAAGTTGGAGTAAAAGAAGGCTTGAAGAAGGCCATGAGTTATCAAAAAAGGCTATAAAGACAATAGAGGCCAACATGGAGAAAGCCATGCACCGTGAGGTTGTTGCTTTTGACTATGATGTCATAGGGTTATATCAGGTTAGGACAGGTCGTGGAAGGAGAAAAGCTTGTAAAGGTGGTAACTCCCACACTGTGAATTTGATGAGAAAGACATGTACTTGTGAGAAGTTGAAAATATACAAGTTGCCACGCTCTCATGTCCTAGCAGTTTGTTGGCATCGAAGCCTATCACACTCAGACTTTGTGGATTCTTTCATACTCGAAGTATTTCACACCAGTTCCCGATCCTTGCCATTGGTCCACTTACAATGGGCCTAATGTGGTAGCCAACCCAGATCTGAAAAGAGGCCCAGGCCGGCGGTCAACTAGAATCCGGAATGAAATGGATGAGCGTCTCTATCGTGTCAAGAAGGCATGCAGTGTTTGTCGACGACCTGGGCATAACAAGAAGACTTGTCCTATAATTATTGGTGGTGTTGGATCATCTGGGTAACGACCATTAGATATTGTTAAAATGCCTAATTTGTGTTTTAAAATATTGAAATCTTATTTTTTTTTCCTTACGCATGCTTAAAATTAATTAAATTTCCTCTTATCATGTAGGTCCCATGGATCCGGTGATTCGACCAAGCCCAATTGATTCATCTGTTCTACGGTTGCAAACTTCCCATAGGAGTCATGACGTTTGGAGTGGCGTGGCTGATAGAGTTTTTTCAGTTAGGGAGCATGTGGTCAGCTTGGGACGTGAGTGGAGGGTAGAGGGTGGAGTACTAGACTATATGAAGCGTGTTGGGTTTTACGGTGTGCATAGAAAAGCGGGTGGAGGGTTTTTGCTTGACCGTTCTTTTCTCACTGCGTTGGTTGAGAGGTGGAGGCAGGAGACACATACTTTCCATCTTGTGGTGGGAGAGGCCACCATTACTTTACAGGTGGTTGTT